TACGATTTTATTTTTAAAGTCATAATATACGCCCTGCAAAAGTGTGATTTTGGTACAGCATAAAATTATTCCGGTCTTATTCAATTGAAATCGATTCGGATTAATCCGATTTCAAATAGCACCTTAAAGCCATAATAGAAAACTTGGTCTGAACTCTTCAATTAGTGTACAGGGTTGCCATATTCGACGAACCCATGGGCCCATTCCAATCGACGAGGCTTGTCCGCAGGCAACATTCTTTGCGTCAGTTGAATTTTGTAGAGGAACAAATCCAAATCAATGCGAATAATCCGTTGTAAAGTGGACCGAGCCATGTCCAACTGCTGAGAGCGACATTTTTGGGATGTTCTTGGGGACCTCTCAACACTGGCTCGTACGGCAGCGATATTCTCGGCCGATCGCCTTGGTCGACTTTTATATGGCCTCTTCGGATTAAAAAGAGCCTTACCAGTCGAAAATGTTTCGTATAAACGCTTAATGGTGTTCTTAGAAGGCGCACTTCTCACATTTTTTAATATTTTAAAAGCACGTTGAGTTTTCACAATTGACTTCTTCTGTTGAATGTAAATTTCAACTACTTCAGAGCACTCGCGTGGCGTGTGTTGGTTTATGGTAAAAATCTGCATGGACTGACGCTTCAAACGCGGCATGTCATTAAGCGATGTGACATCGCTGTCAAAAGTTATGGCGTTGTCAGATGGGTCCGTCGAATATGGGCAACTCTGTATTCGGCATGCAGAATTTGTAATGGTTCCTGTCTTCTGCGACAGAAGACTGTTGGAATAGGCTCAGTATTTCTTTTACCACTCATTAGTCGGTACCTCTAGAAAAATTGGCATTTTCGTTATTTTATTTATATTTTTTTAGCAGATCCTTTTTAATTTGGTATTTGACACTTTGGCATCCGCTTTAGCAAGAACCCTGTGCCACCGATTTTCCGGAATTTTTAAGATTTTTTTCCAACCGATTTCACTGGTAAAAAATATTCCTGATCCTTTTTTAACAATTCTATTGTCTTTATGGTGGCGTGAGTTAAATTAAATTGTTCTGGGAAAATTTTTCATATTAAAAGAGAATTCTCACAATGGGTCTTAGGGCCTGATTAGATATGAAAATTGCACTTGTGTTTTGGAAAAACTTTGGATTTTCCTTTCATATTAACAATCGTGTCGTCATATTGAAATATGCCCTTGATTATATGTTAATTTCTACTAAAACAACTGTATCATCAATTCAAATGTTAAAAGATAAATAAAACAATAAACATATAAAAAATAAATAAATAAAGAACAAAACAATAAAATATTTAAAAATAGTCACACACAATTTTAATAAAAATTTAAAACATTTTGCTCCATTGCTCACTTATTCAAATGAATATTTTAATAAACCCAACCAACCAACCAAGCCATCCACGAAGGGTGGGCAAATATTTGCATTTTTTGACAGCAGTAGCAGCGGCAGCAGCAGAAGCTAAATGCAATATGTTTACACTCCATCACCTGGAAAACTCGATCATTTTTCACACTTTTTGTTTTGGCTTTTTGTTCATTTCATATCCCTTTGGCCGGAAAAAAAAATAATAAAACAATAAAACAAACTCTTGTTTAATTCAATTATTTTAATTTCATATTCCAACTAACAAAACTGGTGAACATTTGAACAACGACGACTGACTGTTGCTACCCATTTTCCATTTAATTTGATGCAGAGTTTATTTGAAAATTCTGAAATAAAATAAATTTTGGAAAATGAAAAAAAAAAAAAAATACGAGCTCACCTAACATCCACAGAGAACTTCAAGTCAGCAGAATGGCAAAAACAAAAAAACAGGCATGGCCCACTCTGTAGTGAAGTGCATGGAGCAGCAGCATAGATGTCAGACTCGCCTGACATTTGGACAGTTTTATGTTGCCTTAGCATCAGTTACTGCTCTTGGCTCAGCATTTATTTTATTCGGAGTTCATTTGTTTGTTGTTTGTCTGTTTGTTTTAAAGCCATGAATGAAATTGTAGCCCCGACTGACTGACTGACTAGCGGAATAGTTGTGTGTGTGGGAGAGTATGTTGCTTGGTTTTCCCATTTTCCTTTACAATTTTGTTTATGTCTCCACTTCCGCTTAAATAAAACAATAGCTTGACAGAGCATTTTATATTTCATTTGGCTGCTAAACTCTGCTCTTATTATACATTTTAGGCAGACAATGCATTTCTGGTTGGAGTTGCAATTGCCAGCGTTGTTGCTGTTTTTGTTATTATTGTTGTTTGTTTTAAATGTTTAACCCAAATATCCGCTTGCTGGATGACATTTAACTGTTTTTTTTATTTGGTTCTTTTTTCCAGTTTCTTTTGCTCTAGTAAAATAGTAACATAATCTAGACACTAATGCTCATGTTGTTGGGGGTGTATTAAACGAGTTTTAAATTATTTGGAACTTTATAGAAAATTTTGGTGAATTTTAGGTGTGTACGGGAATTTTGAATGTAGTTAAAAAAAAATAAAAAATAGAAAAATATGGAAGCGGGAAAATTGAAATATTGAGTGGATTGCATTATTTCCCAAGATGTTACTGGAATCAGTTAAATATAAGAAACTGAAATGGCTGACCGCGCAATTCGTATTTAATTCGCGATTAGATGGAAATTTTGGAATTTTTTCAACAGAAATTATGGCCCATTTCACTCGCTTTGTATTAAGAGATGGCTATCTAAAATGATAAGTCTCTAGCATATCCTAGACTCTAACTACACGATAAATTTAGGTTCGATCGGTCTATGATTACGATTTATAGAGCGACTGCAAAAGCCTGCGGCCTTTTGACCCCTGCTATGATTATTCAAATTGTAGATTCCCTATTCGTGATGGAATTCAAGCGTAATAGTGTGATTTCTTTATATTTGGCTGGAAAACCACAAGTGGCTATCGTAAGAGCACTCCAGCATTTAATAAATCTTTTATGTCTCGTACCATCGCTCGTTACCGTGATACTGGTAGCGTAGTCCGACGTCAAGGAAGTTGACGAAAGAAAATTCCAAAAAGGGAAAGAACTTACACCACAGCAGAAATGCACTCCAAAAAACTAAAGAGTTGCTTAGCTTGGCCGAAAGTGGCGAACTTCGATGAGAAAACATGAGTTGTCCAGCAGTTTGTAAACAAACAAAATGGGCGTGCTTTCTTGCCAAAGAGGTCAGCTTAAAATGTGCACCTTCGGTTGGTCCACCAAAAGTCAAGCGCCGGCCATGGTGATGTTGTGGGATGACATAACAGCCGATGGTCACTCTCCGCTCGTATTAATCGGCCGTATCGCGAAAATATTCTGAAGGGTTTATTAAAGCCTTGGACACGCAAGCATGTCGGCAGCAGACCTTGGACATTCCAACAGGACTCAGCACCAACGCACTCAGCACGCGTCACCCGAGAATTGTTACAAAATGAGGTTCCTCGCTTCATTCCCTGCGCGCACAATGGCCACCAAAATCTCCGAATACCAATCCGTTGGACAATTGTGTCTGGAGTATTTTCGAAAGCAAGGTTGGCACTAAAAAATACCAAAGTGTCGATCACGTCAAGCAAGCGCTTCGCCGGCAATGGGCCAAAATACCGCAGGGCAACATTCGGGTAGCGTGTTATGGTTGCATTGGCCAGTTGAAGGCCATAATTCGTGCCAAATACGGGTACCTCCTTATATTCGGTATTTTATTGATTTCACCGATGTTATTAACCAGAAATGTTTCAAATTTCGTATTTGAAGTTGCTTGTGGGTACTACAGTCTATGCATGTCCAGGTTTTTGTATAGCCCCCAAATATCGGTACCTCCTTATGATCGGTATTTAATGTTTTTACGACATTATTCACTGGAATTGTTTCAAATTTCGTATTTGAATATTGTAATGGCCTATGACGAAAAATGGTTATGTAGGTCTTCGAATAGACCCCAATATAATGGTAACAACCTACATTCAGTATTTTTAAGATTTTAACGGAATTTTGAACGGATTTTACTTTTTATTCCTTTTTTTTCAATTTCCAAATTTGTTCCAAATGGTGGAGGATATTCAAAGTTTGACCGGCCAGAACTTACTGTTTGTTTTTTTTTTCTGGTAAAGTGAGTGGTCGAACAGACTTAATTGGACACTAGAAACTTAAAGGTGACTCAGTTTTCAGTTTGTTGTAGACATAATTACTTAAAAAACTTATCGTAATGTGTAGTTCGTGACTTCAAATTAATATTTTGTGTGTTGGTGCGAGATTTTCTGGAAGGAAAGTGTTGATGAATGCCATGTCAATTGAAATTCGTCTGAAATATTAATATGTGTGGTATTCCTCAATATTGGCCTTTCCTGTAAGAGGTATGCGAAGGAGTATGCAGATATTATGCGTTTTTGCACATGCCCCGAACTAGGCATATCTTAAAATGGATTTAAGTTAAATAGAATTCAAATTACGGAAAGCTGGGATCAGCTATTCCTTAAAAGAAGGGACTACAATTCCAAAAAATCACATTTTTACCAAAATAAAATATATATATAAATGTACTAAGGATAGGGGATGAACCGTGAATTCATAAGAAGCGTGCTTCAAATAGTTCGATACTTTGTAGGGCATATTCCTTAAAAAACTGACAAAATTGTCTTAAGGACTTCAATATTCATAAAATCGTGATGCAATATTATTTTGAGAGAATATCAGTTTACCTTATCTTTAAGAAAAACACTTTTAATGCCTGTTCTGTTTTTCAGAACCTGAAAGACTTTAATATTTTTCAAATTTTTTTTCGGTATCGCCAAGAGAAAATCGTAATAAAAAACGTTTACATTCTTATCGTTCTGGAACAGACCATATACAACAATAAAATTCCCCAGGAAATTTATTTCATATTTACAATTTTAATTCACCAAGACTTCGGAATACATAAAATTTAAAGTTGCAGCCTTACGGACCTCTACATTCAACCAAATTAAGGAATTCACATTTTTAATTTACCATTAAAGCTCACTTACCTGATATGCCATCATAAGTCCACCATTCTTCCCAGCTAACTGCATGGAGCACTGTAATTAGACAAGTAAAAATTTAATTTTTTTTTTGAAATTAAAAAAAAATGCATTTAAAACCTTAAGTTAAACTTTTCTATAAAAATCACAAAAAATATACAAATTTTTCTATAAAATATCTTTGAACTTTGTTGGAATTAAAATGATTCCTCACTAATTCCTGATACAATTTTAGAGACGTGTATCCTGTCCAGACACCTAAATTGCCCAAAAATGTAAAGACACTTACTAAAACACTAACCAAAATTACTCGAGTTAATGTTTATATTCCAATATTATTTTTGTACCATACATACACTGATCATCAATATTATATCATCTCTTCCCCAATGTTTTGTGATGTCTGCAATTTTTGGTTTTCATTTCTATGGAGCTTCCTAATTAAATTATAACAAAACGTATCCTTTTACGTAATTAAAATAGCATTTATAACAACATTAACACAATCTGAAAATGATAACATTGAAACAGGGACAGAGACAAAGGATAAGGAGATGGGAATCGAAAAATCAAGAACAACATCAGAAACGGAACTCGGGGGAATGGCATAGTTTGGCAAACATTTAGCTAGTCCTCCTCTAGCTTCTCCAACTCCTCTGTATATAAATTCAAAACATTTACAAATACATTAATTTCAATCATTGTCCATGACTTGGCAAAAACAAAACAAAAAAGTTGAACAAAAACAAAATAAACCCTTTTGTTGGCCTCTATGTCCTGTTGCCATATTCCCTTGGTCATCTAATGGCATGTCGAGAAAGTACAACAATTTCACAACAAAACAAAGAGGAGAAGAAGAATGGGCCAGACCAGCACATTCCCAATTCCATTCGTAGCCTCAGTTATTGACGGTATCTCCATACAGCCAAAGGATTTTTCAAGAATTTTCACCGAATTCGGACCGAATTCGTCCAGAAAATCTAATGTTTTTTCAGATTTTTTGCAGAAAATCTTTCCGAATTCGGTGACCACGTCCATACAACTTTCGTACCGAAATCGGAAGGAATTCGGAATCAGAATCGGACATTTTTTCAGAGATTCTGACAGAAATCGGACCGAATTCGGCAAAAATTGTTTACTGGGCGGCTACAAATGTAAAAATGCAAGTAATCGAATGCTTACGTACACTCACACTCTCGCACACAATCACTCCCATCTACACAAACGTCAAAGGAATGGGAATAGACATCGAATAGAGCGAGACCAACAGACATTTTCATTCGCTTTTGAATGCTAACGTAACTTTAAGATTGTTAAAATTGTTTGGCAAAAATATTTGTTGATTTTGTTGTAGTTTTGGGTACATAACTAACAGGGATTGTTGGTACAGTAGAGGCAGACTAAGTGACACCGAAAATATTTTCATGTATATGTTTATGTAAGGGAATAAAAAATATCCTTATATCTCACAATTTCAAAAAGAAATCACTGTTGGAAAAAATGCAATTTTTATACCCCCACCATACCATGGATATAGGGAGTTTTGCATACCGATTGTAACAACTCGAAATATATATTTTAGATCCCACAAATTATATTTATTCTTGATCAGCATATAATCCTATGTCGATTTAGCAATGTCCGTCCGTCACCCTCTTTTTCCGTCTGTTGAAGACGCGTCTGAGACAGAAAATTTTCGATGCAGGTTCAGGTCTTCGTATAGCACCTTCTATATTCACACCTCTCTTTATTCAATATTTTGACGATTACAGTCACACTTTTCACCGAAAAAGTTTTAAATTCATATAGCCCCCAGGATAATGGTCATCCCTTTATCTAACGTTTTGAAATTTTTGCGATGTAATTCACCGAGACTTTCTTAATTTTCGTATTAGAATATCGTAATGTCCCATGACTAAAATTGCCTAGTCCAAGTCCAAGTCTTTGTATAGACACCAATATAACGACAACTTCTCATATTTATATTATATATATATATATATATATATATATATATATATATATATATATATATATATATATATATATATATATATATATATATATATGTATATATATATATATATATATATATTTTTTTTTTTTTTTTTTTTTTTTTGAAAATTTGCAAATTTCTTCCAAATGGGTTTCCAAGCTTCAGCCCGAACTTACTTCTCTGTTATCTGATTCAATGATTGCACGGAATATCTAGCAGATTATAAAAGCAGATCTCCGTTCTGAAAGCTTACATCCCAAAGTAACTTTAATAGAGGGGGCAAGTTCCCCCCTCTTCGATAATATTGGACATATTCGAATTGAGATTCCTCGGAGGTACCAAAATGAATGGTCCGATCTCTACCATCGTTATAAAAATTCTTATGCTGAGGGGGGATATTGAAATTTGCCAAGTCTGAATGGAATCGGATGTTAATTTCGCGTTTTATGAGCTTCATGGATTATCAAAATTTTGACCCTTTGTGGGGAGGTACCAGAAGGAGAGAACCGATATGTTCCGTCTTCTCACCAGACCTTGGGTTAAAAAAAAAATATGATGTGTGTAATTTGAAGACGATCTGGCTCTTACATCACATTTTATAAGAGTTATAATTATTCAATATTTAGACCCTTTGATGGAGTGAACCGGTATTGTCCATTTTCGCACCTGACCTAGAACTGATGCAAATATTACCATTTGGAAAGTTGGAGCCAAATCGTATTGTACTTTCTCTATCTGTGCAGTAAATTATTTTCTTTGAAAATATTAACATTTTGTATGGGAAGTACCAGAAGGAGTGGACCGACAATGCCTATCTCCGAACTCGATCTAAGTTTGACAATAATATTACGATGTACCAAGTTTGGATCAAATCAGATACTCCCTTTGATTGTTATCGTGAGCATCAGCCAGACAGGATTATATCCAAAATCATTGGTACAGAAAATGGGTCATATCAGCCTGTTTTTTTTGGAATAGTCCCCTCGACACCAGTTTTAAGTAGTTTTTTACGTTTTAGTGGTGTATTCCATTTTATTTTGGCAAATTTTGATATATTAAGTTCTTGTTATGTAGGAAAGTTGGTTACAAAGATTATCAATATAGGTTCACCATTTGGTACAGCAGCTGTACAATAATATCCCCAGATTTTAGTTATTGCAATTGTCTTGGCCGTATTTTCAAATCAATTTTGATTCAACTTGGTTTTTTGGCCTCAGAAAACTTTTTCGCAAAAAATCTCTGAAAAATGATAGTTTCTTTGAGTGTAGAAAATCGGACGAAGATATATATGGGAGCTATATCCAACTCTGAACCGATCTCGACAAAAATTTAGCAAATATATTTCTGAGCTGTATTTGATACATTTCCCCGAATATCGTTGCTACAGAAAGCATATTACGGCTGCAGAGGACAAAAAAAAAACAAATAGGATGGGGAATATATATGGGAGCTTTAGCTACATCTGAACCGATTTCGAATAAATTTGGCATACCTATTTTCAGGCCTAATTTGGTCGTATAGTGTAGGGTCTCCAATATTTGATAAATTATTTCTTTAACATCAATACCTATTTTAGAAGTGTTCGCAAAGATTATATAAAAATTATAAATTAAAAATTTCGACAAAAATATCAATTGTTAATAGATAAATATCTGATCGAAATATCGATAACGATTCGACGTAAAATTGGCGAATATTTGACATGTTTTTTTATTCAAATTTATTCTGTTCCAGAACTGCAAAAATGTAATACTTTTCACCACTATAACTTTTTCTTCCTTTATGATATCGGGAAAAATTACAAAACTAGTAGATTTTTGCAGGTTCTGAATAGAGCAATCTTCTCCATTTGGGTCTTATCTACGCAATGTTCCAGTACCTGAAAAAATCTACTAGTCTTGCAATGTTTTTCGATATTAAAGACGAAAACTCGGCTTAGATTCTTTTAGCTACAAGGACCCTGAAAAATATTCATTGCAAACCTAAAACTGTTGCCTCTTCAAATATTTTCCACTTCAATAAATTGATGTAATTTGGCTTCGACTGTTTGTCTGTCTGAGTATTCCTTTTATTGCAATGGCAAACCGAGGCCAAGGTTGGTATGCCGACATCGGCATGTTATTTTGGTTGTTTTTGGTTTTCTTTTTGTTTTATTTATTCAACGAAACTAAATTGAAGCAACAAATCCATGAACATTCTAAAATATTTTGCCAATTTTAGTTTGGTTGTGGAAAATCGATATTTTTGGTTTAATTCCCAAATGAAAGTGCAAATGAAGACAAAGGGGTTTTGTGGGGAAAACAAACTACTATGGAGAAATGCGAAACAAACTATTCCGCAGCTACAGGCAATAAATAGAGACAAATAATACGGATAGTTTTGTGTGTTTAAAGTCGAAAATTTATAGAATGAAAAAAGTTTAGAGAGGGATTGTGGATTGAGTTAGGTGTGAATTGGAGTATTTTGAATTTTTAGAGTTAAGATTTTGGTTTGGTTTTGGTATATTTTATAGCGTTTGAAATAAGAAGAAATCTTAGAAACTATGAATAACTTTGATACCATATCATACCAGCATTTCTGATATCAAATCAAAATTTATGGTGGTGGCTTAGGTCCTTTAAAACAAGTAATTTATGTTTTGCATGTCAGCTTTTTAAAAATGCATAATTGATGATTTTTCGTAAATATTTGGATTTTTTTCAGACTGTCAAAAAAGGTCCGCAGGGGATACGAAAACAAAATTGACTTGGTTTCTGTGAACTTCAATAGGCTTGTTGTCAGGGATAAACCTATAGCGCGATTCTCTAATTCATTTTTTGAGTTGATTGCTGTGCCTTTTGAGTAGCAAAATCGTCGGAAATACCATAATCTAGAATATGTGCTTGTGAAAGTTGGAACTTTTAACTACACCCAGGACGTTACGACATATGCTTTCTGGAGTAGGTTAGTAAAGGATCCAATTTAAATCTAAGTAGCTGGGTAGTTTTTATAGGGTGACATGACAAAACTGCAACCAACTTCAGACTGCTGTCTTTTCGAAGCCCCTCGCCCGATATCTGTC